TCTTATGTACACACACTCTCCCTCGCTGCCCCTCTGTTTCTTTCTCTCCATCTCTCGTTCCCCTGCAGAAGAATCCTGATCCAATTTTCACCCGACCAAGGGCTGCTAGGATGGCAGAAATAGCAGCATTAGTTTGAGTTTTGTTCTTGCATCAAAAGCTATTGACACCATAGTTCTTCTGCAGCGTCGACCAACTGGTTATTTATTTACCTTCACCAACATCACTAGACCCCAAATGCAAAATTCTCCCAACCCGCAGTGCCCCTAAGTGAATCTACATTTATATAATGCTGCCAAGCTTCAATTGACTATTGAACTGTTACCATCTTTTTGTTTAGCTGTGCACCTTATTGATTGTATCAAAGGTATTTTTTATTTGGAGCTCAGCCTTGAATGAAGAGAAGTGAGCGCTACGCTTCAATCTGCTTGACAAAACACGTCTGGGTGAAATCAAATTTCTCCTGACGTGACCGAGAAGCGGCCCCACCTCTGCTTCTGAAGCACAGTCATACGTCACGTTTTTTCAGAGTCAAATGCCACATGCCTGAAGGAAATACCAGTGCTTGTACGGCAGAGAATGAATAGTGTTACATTTTTAGGTGAATTTAGGATTATGCTTTGGTTCTGAGTAAATGAAATGCCACATTGCAAGCTCCTTAAACTTCGGCTTTGTCATGACACCCAGTCTTGTTTTCTGCCGGCTGTGCATTAGAATCAACACACATAATGTGACTTCTGTGCAGTCTTTGCAGTTTAAAGAGAAGAAAACAAGGCCAAATGCAATTCAGTATGCAAATAAATTTTAGAAAGAAACCAGTAAGCAATGGTGTCAAGGCTTTTGGTTAGATTTTGAAACAATTAATTAACAATATGCAGAAATGATGCACATTGATCAGTTAAAAAAAATGAGCTAATAATTTAAAGTTAATTTAAATTCATTCAACAAATTTGAATGAAGACTATACATGAAGTGATCTGAGCTGAAATAGCAGAAATGGGAAGAGATGGATAAAAATAGACTGACAAACCAAACATTTGCCTCATCTGGTGCTAAACAAAATAAGCAGAATGAGCAAATAAACAGCACTGTCAGCAGACGCAATTAACCGTGTGAGAATTCCTCCCAAAATATTTAGGAATATCAATATAACGCGGCCTTGCAATCATCGCAATAAAAATTAAACAATATTGGCTGTTAAACTGGATGTAGCATCAAATTTGCATTTCCAATTAAGCATTAATCACATAAACTGACTAAACTAATTGTGGCTGATTTGTTTAATTAGTTCAATTTCAAATTCACAGAGAGAGTGATCACTTTTATGTTCTAATACAAGAGAAGATTAGAGGTGAGAAGATGCTTGTCATTTGAATTCTATGATTATCTATCTGTCTATACAATGCATATTGTCAGCTCAGAATTAGAGTTAAAAAATTAAATCTGATAAAAATGAATTCCGAGTGAATATCCTGCTGAGTAAATACTTTCTAAATAATATAAGAAATGGTAGTAATCACAATATTGTTAGTAGAATGCTAAATGAAAGGCAACCATTTTTTGTTTATAATATCATGCATACTAATTTTTAACACTCAGGATAAATGGGCTAATATCATAGGAGGAGATCCCTTGCAAGAGGATCATCATATTTGTGGCTTCTTCGAAAAGTCTGAAAATGCCTGAGAAAGAGAGAGTAAACGAGCAAGAAGGAGAGATAGATGAGATAATTACAGTTCCTTCTACTCATTTGGCTGTAAACTACACTCACATCCCCACCAACATGTCCAAAAGTCCTACACTAAACACCCACCAAAGGTAAACTGAAATGGAGTGAAAGCGCCAAGTCCAGATCCATTAAATCCCTCCCAAACCTGTGAATGATTCTCAGCGCAGTGACTGTGTGTAGGAATCCCCGTCAGTGAGTGTGTGCTGGACAATTTTTTGACAAGACTCACTAGCTGCGCAGTGGCGCTTGGCACACATAAACATGGGAAGCGATGAGTGTGGAGAGCGTGTACACCACCACAACACTGTCAGATGCATTAATCACTTACTGTGGAGGAACTGTTTTTCTGGGTTGCTGTGAACAAGAGGGTTTTTGTGTGTTTTTTTGTGTTGTAGACCCATATTAACACTGCAAAGGCAGCATCAAAGTCCCGTCTGAAGAATTCACACACTTTCAATGCAGTCATACGTCTGCATGCATACTGCAGATCCACTGCATTGCTGTCTGTAAAAATACTGCAACCTTATACACATAAAACACATACTCACAGATTCCCTTGTGTGTACATGCAATTCATCTTCATAATTATGAAAAAATATCTTCTCTTTTTATGTGGCCCAAATTTGAATAATATTTCTTATTAGGGAAAAATCTATTTCTGTTCAGAGAAGCTGATTCTTTGAACTCTTGTGTAAATAACACATGGACTTTTTGATGTTTCCAAGTTTACTGTGTGAAAATAGGAATCCCCGTCAGTGAGTGTGTGCTGGACAATTTTTTGACAAGACTCACTAGCTGCGCAGTGGCGCTTGGCACACATAAACATGGGAAGCGATGAGTGTGGAGAGCATGTACACCACCACAACACTGTCAGATGCATTAATCACTTACTGTGGAGGAACTGTTTTTCTGGGTTGCTGTGAACAAGAGGGTTTTTGTGTGTTTTTTTGTGTTGTAGACCCATATTAACACTGCAAAGGCAGCATCAAAGTCCCGTCTGAAGAATTCACACACTTTCAATGCAGTCATACGTCTGCATGCATACTGCAGATCCACTGCATTGCTGTCTGTAAAAATACTGCAACCTTATACACATAAAACACATACTCACAGATTCCCTTGTGTGTACATGCAATTCATCTTCATAATTATGAAAAAATATCTTCTCTTTTTATGTGGCCCAAATTTGAATAATATTTCTTATTAGGGAAAAATCTATTTCTGTTCACAGAAGCTGATTCTTTGAACTCTTGTGTAAATAACACATGGACTTTTTGATGTTTCCAAGTTTACTGTGTGAAAATTCTCTCAGATTAAGATTAATCACTAATTATTTATCTCATTCATTCTTATTTATGATGTTTACATGTGGATCTACAGCTGAAAACTGCTAAGAAACTGATAGGTAAGAAAAGGCACAAATGAGATATTTAATGTTGCAATTTCTTCTCCTAGACAGCAATAAGATTAAACTGAGACTTCAAAAATGATGTTGTCTCATTAACAGTAGATATACTTGACAATATGTAGCACTTTATTTTATTAGTACAACGTTCTGTCATGAAACTCTAGATGGTGTAGGCCGATAGGTTCCAACTCAATCTGATATAATCATATGATTATTCACATGGGGCAGCTGATTGGTTTCTTACATATCAGCAGCCAATGAGCTTGCTGCTCAACATTCAAATACTTGGCTAGTGCTTGCTGTAGCAGTTGCAGCGCACTTCAGAAACCCTCCACCTTCCCCAGCTTCACCTGTATAGATCTGCTACGGGGTGATTTCATTCATGTATGTTATATATGGGGGTTATTTCATACATGTTATATGTGCAGCAGCAGTATTTCCTACATGCTCACAGCAGCATGTCTGTGGATGTATTGGCAGTTGCAATTCTCGGTACTAGTAATAACTACGCGGCAGCAGTGTAGCAGAACTATTCCACCAAGACCAAACACATTAACACTGTCATGTATACAATGATAAAACTCTCCCAGAGTTGTCATGACAGAACTCTAAGTAACTTATCAACTAGATATCAACTATTAGTCATTAGAGTAGACTGTCTGTTTAATATCTGCTAACACTTTATTTTGATGGTCTTTTAACACACAGTTTACTGACTTTAAACTTTTTAAGCTTAAACTTTGCAATTACTTACCAACTTATTCTACTAAACCTAACACTAATCCTAACCTAACAGTCTAATAATACTCGAATGAGAGTTAGTTGAATGTCTAAAGTGGATTATCGAAATAAAGTGTAACCTGACAACCTATTTTATTTTCAAAGCTAGAGCAAGATTCAAACCTGTGATCACTTGCAAAAAGTATTCCTCTAAGCTACATCATTTGAGCTGCTCGAAGACTGAAATTCTAGAATCGCCCCTGCAATGGATGCATCATCTGACTGCAATCTCTACAGCACTTAGTGAATGTATATCTACAAATTAAGGAGGACTGATTTACAGACTCACTGTAATGGACAGGCACATTAACACACTCAAAGAGTACACAGAGTTGCTAAAATGCAAAAGTGATATTAGCATTAGAGGACCTCCTGTGTATATGGTTTCATCATTGAAGAGCTTTCATCTCTCGAACAAACACGCATTGCCTGCCATACTCCCATGACTATGACAACCCAATTCAAGAGCTGGCACAGTGAGACATTACCTAGCAGTCTCTGCACAATCCATTTACAAACTACAGGCCCATTTATCAGAGACTTTAGCACATGCTCAGATTGTTGCCTGTGCAGTTTCAGTAACAATCACTGACTGGAGCATGTTAAATATCTCTTGTGCTCAAAAGAGTTCTTGCTCTCTTTATCTCTGGCAACTACCCTTTTGTATGCACTAAATGCAAGTAATTTAACTTAAACCCTAAATGCGATTACAAGCAACAAATTACTGTAGCTTCTTTTACAGGAGAACAAAAAGAAAATGATCCCAAGGTTATCCGGAGAACGGGTTATGAAGAAATTGTCTTATTTGGAGGTGTAACAGTTGTAAATGAGTTTGAATCATCTGTTTTATGTCCCGTAATCTCTCTGTACCCCATACCACTACAGTAAGCTCTGGAAAAGGATAGAATCACTTGAGAAGAATACAGGTGATTAGTCTCCTAATCACTCCCAATCACCAGAGCTGGGGATGATGAACATGCTATGTTTTCTTGTGTGGGTGAAAATATGTTTAAAGTGAGTAAGAATGAACATGGATGAAACATAAATGTACCACAGATTAATTTATATGGGCTTCTGAAACTTACCGTCCTCTGTGGGAACGTAGACGTTGAGATAAAGGCAGTCCTCGCTCTGGTTCTGTACATAAGCCGCGGCAGCATCCAGGTTGTCTGTGAACCATACGGGAAGCATGATCTCTGGCAGCACCCCGTGGATGTTTTGTGGGCACACTGGTGCAAACTGGGTAGCGTTACGGATCTCCTGCCAGGAGCCTGGTGCCTCCGGGGGCTGGAAGCGCCTCTCACCTACTGGTGGGGTGGCATAGGGGACGCCCAAGTACTGCTCAACCGGACCCAGAATCTCATTGTTCAGCTCCTTGCGTACGCCCCGAAGCTTCCCATAGCCAGTGGTGACCATAGGGTGCTTGGCGGCGGTGAGGTCTGCCCGCTGGCAGGAGGACAGTGCCAGGCGAAGTGCCAAGCCCAGCAGCCACACCAGGCAAGTTTCAGATATACGGCGCGGGCAGGAGATGGACGTCTCCCGCCGTGATCGTGCCACGCCCACTGATGACATGCTTTGGCTGGGGTGAGCAGCGCCCCAGCGATAGGGGGGAGGATATGAAACAGACAAGGAAGAAGAGTTTCAAGCTGTCCTGGTGACGCCGAAGTTAAGGGCTTTGTGGAAGTGAGGGTGTGCGTATCCTCAGCAGAGCACAGAAGAGGCCTGCTGACACTGAGCGGCGAATAACTTCATCCTGATGTTAGTGCAACATGTGCATCTATTGCGATTTGCTCATTAGTTTCCTACAGGGAGAGAGAGACAGGCAGAAAGATAGATATCATTAACTGCTGACAGTAAAACATGCATTCCAACATTATCGAACACAATAAAAGGTAATTACAGTATTGCCTGAGGTTTAAAAATCATATCAACTATAAACATGTGAAACATGAATCTAATTAAATATCATTTGTTCCACTGTATATAATCTTTCTCTTAATGTTTGTTTAATATCTTGGTTGAAATATCTCCTTCTCTTTCTGGAGTATTCTCTAAGGCGCATAATTACAGATGCGTATCTGGATCATGGGCCGTTCTCACCAGCGTGTTGTCACATCGTCAAGAGGTGTGCCACAGCGACACACATTCACGCTCGGGTACCGGGGGGGGTGTGAAATACTGAGTGTGCTGCTTAATTGACTCCCTCGGAGGAGATGACAGCACCAAGTGTGTTCATTTTAAGTTCCCCCCGACGTGCCGTTGCTCTAGAGTCTTGGTTCCTGCCTCCCCTCCGTTCCACTTGACTTAGCCGTGCTAGTTTCAATCTCGCTAGAGTAGATGGGGGCATTTGGGCGTAATAACTGCCTGCTGCTGACAGTCTATGACAATCACCTCACCCCACCCCCCATGACATAATGATCTACAAGGAATGCGAGGGAAGCATTTACAGCCATTTTGGCACAAAAAGACATTATGAATGGGGACTGGGTGTACAGAGACAGACCAATTTAAAATCGTCCTATAATGAGACACTTAATTCTGGAGTCATACAGGGTAACAGGAATCAGTGATTCAAGAACGATGATGTCATACGCAATTGGTCCTGGAAACTGCTTCCAGAATGACTAATCAGTCATGTGGACAGCATGTATCTGTGCTTAAAAATATATGGACAATAAAGGCATCCAGTACCAAGTGGTGTTATTTTAACATTATTTACAGTATATACTATTATTAATTAAAATATTGATTTCTATTTCAATATTTGAAATAGGGGCTTTCATTTAATTTTATTTAAGTTTTAATAATTTAGCACTTCAGCTTAAACTTATTTCAGATAGTTGCCTTGGCATTTAAGTTTATTAAGCTTACCTTTTCATCTAAAATTTACATTAACAATTTAAAAAATATGATTTTTAAGCAATTTATGTTAAATTAACAATAACAACACTGTTACAAAGAGTATCTAAAACTAAAATCTGATACAAACTACATGGGATATTTGGATACAGGCAAAGCATAAGATATGTTTACGCATTTAGGCTCATAATAAAGGTGAACATAAGTAGGCCTATGTGGAAGCATTGCAGTATTTTTGGATTTTATACACTGATCATGGGGGGAAAATATGTGGTATGGATTTACAGTTTTTTTTCAATTGCTAACATCCCTTTGTCCAATCTTTAGTCACATTTTCAAAACTCTAAACACAATTAGCACAACATACGTTTGTTGTGACCATACCATTAACACAATTCGTGTTGTTTTCATGCAATATTCAGTCAATTAACATGTTTCCAAAATGCTTAAATTTTCTTTTGACACAAGTTTACATCATACCAAAATCATGGATCTTTATTTTTATTTATTTATTTTTTTTTACAAATGCTTAAACACATAATGTCAGAAATAAAGACCTAATGTTCCAAACTTTAAATATAGTGTAAAGCCTCTACTTCTGCAACAACAGCAGCTTAAAAGAGCTGATAAAAATTATTTTAATTACTAATAATTGAGAAATAGCTGATTCCAATCTTAATGAATAATTATTTTATATAATTATTCATTAAGATAGTCTTTCCATTACATGGCCATGCACAATAAAAAGGCACTCTCTGGGTTGGTTTTGGTCAAAACAATACAGAACAACACAGAGAAGTGTAACCCTGTTGAAATATGTTCTGTAGTATAACATATACAAGTTTGAATAAATAATTTCATAGTTTACTAAATAGAGTTTAAGGTTAAAAAAGTTAAGATTCATTGACCAGCAAAGAAGTTATGATTTTGCTCAATGAGAGAAATGTCTATGGAGTAAGAACATCCAGACACAAGGCTATATTTCGCGCAGGCTATATTCAGCCTGAACAATTCAATCTTTCATAACAGTACACTGTCCATCATAACTGACACATTTATACATAGAAAACCGAAAACTGTTCATTTGTATACTGCACACTTGTAAAAACATATCTATACATTCATTTAAAGTAGTCATATGATGTTGCTAAAAAGAACATTATTTAGTGTATTTGGTGTAATGAAATGTGTTTATTCGGTTTAAGGTAAAAAAAAACACATTATTTTCCACATACTGTACATTATTGTTTCTCCTCTATGCCCCACCTTTCTGAAACGCGTCGATTTTTACCTATTATCACACAGTTCTTATTAGGTTTATCATTTTATTATATCAGTCTCATATTAATCAAGACAGTATGTGATGCTTTACATATGTTTAAACTATATACAGTGGTGTGAAAAAGTGTTGGCCCCCTTCCTGATTTCTTATTTTTTTGCATGTTTGTCACACTTTAATGTTAATTGCCCCCTAAACCTAATAACTGGTTGGGCCACCCTTAGCAGCAACAACTGCAATCAAGCGTTTGCGATAACTTGCAATGAGTCTGTTACAGCGCTGTGGAGGAATTTTGGTCCACTCATCTATGCAGAATTGTTGTAATTCGGCCACATTGGAGGGTTTTCGAGCATGAACTGCCTTTTTAAGGTCATGCCACAGCATCTCAATAGGATTCAGGTCAGGACTTTGACTAGGCCACTCCAAAGTCTTCATTTTGTTTTTCTTCAGCCATTCAGAGGTGGACTTGCTGGTGTGTTTTGGATCATTGTCCTGCTGCAGAACCCAAGTTCGCTTCAGCTTGAGATCACGAACAGATGGCCGGACATTCAACTTTAGGATTTTTTGGTAAACAGCAGAATTCATGGTTCCATTTATCACAGCAAGTCTTCCAGGTCCTGAAGCAGCAAAACAGCCCCAGACCATCACACTACCACCACCATATTTTACTGTTGGTATGATGTTCTTTTTCTGAAATGCAGTGTTACTTTTACGCCAGACGTAATGGGACACACACCTTCCAAAAAGTTCAACTTATGTCTCGTCAGTCCACAGAGTATTTTCCCAAAAGTCACATATTTCATTTCCAGTAAGGACACCAGGGAACTTCCTAGTGCTGTGGGGGCCGCATGCAATCGGTGATCCAGAACACACAGTTACACAAACACTGTTTCTCTGAGGGAAAGCTTTATTGATAAAACTGGATATGGTCAGTTTATAAATCACTCAGACAATTTGCGAATGTGTGTTTGTGTATGTGAAATGGCCTAGCTGTGTGTAAGAAGCCCACGCGAAGCCCTTGTTGATTAGCTGCGTGTGGGCTAGGTTAGGCCCTCAGGGGCAGCAGTAAGTCTGCAAGTAAAACAACGTACGCCCCTCTTCTGCCTCTCGTTGGAGGAAGCAGTGTGTTCAGAGGAAATGCAGTCCTTCTGGACCTGCCAATAAAGCACTCACTGCTAAAAGGGCATGCAAAGGGACCCTAATCGAGAGGACTGCGTGTTGAAAAAACACACCGCTCATTCTCCGCCCACTACAGTAAGTGACTCTGACGCACACTTGCCGTTCGGCTCGGGTCCTTATGCTTGATGTGTTCGGCAGCAGGTTTGGGCTCAGATCCATTTTAGTTCAGCAGATTCAGGAGATTAATGCAACTCTTGAGGTGAGTTCGATAAAAACCTGCGAGGGCCCGTACAGATGATTTGAATTGCAAGCAGAATTTTAGCATTTGCTCAGTCGATATGAAAGTGACCCTGAACTGGCTCAAAGGGTAAAGTCACTAATCCTAGGCAATGAGATATAGAGATTCATCCATCTCTCTCCAAAAGAACTCTTCTCTAATGACATCATAATGCTCTTTTAGTACTGTTTGCCAAGTATTAAACTTCAGCATGAAACTCCTTGCTTAGGCTAACATTACTATTAGACCCTTTAAGAACAGTGAGTATTTAACACTAAATTTTAACATACTTAGACGTGACTTTAGCATGTACATGATAATGATGCATCTAATATTTAATTATACAGTATATGTATATTCAAAACATATACAGCGGGTAAAATAAGTATTGAACACGTCACCATTTTTCTCAGTAAATATATTTCTAAAAGTGCTGTTGACAAGAAATGTTCACCAGATGTCGGTAAAAACCCAAGTAATCCAAACATACAAAGAAAACAATACAAATAAGTTCAGAAATTAAGTTATGTGTAATAAAATGGAATGACACATGGAAAAAGTATTGAACTACTGAAATGTATTTAATACTTTGTACAAAAGCCTTTGCTGGTAATGACAGCTTCAAGACCCCTCCTGTATGGAGAAACTAGTCGCATGCATTGCTCAGGTGTGATTTTGGCCCATTCTTCCACAGAGTCTTCAAATCTTGAAAGTTCTGTGGGCCTCTTCTATGAATTCTGATCTTTAGTTCTTATTTTCTATTGGATTCAAGTCAGGTGATTGGCTGGGCCATTCTAGCAGCTTTATTTTCTTTTTATGAAACCAATTGAGAGTTTCCTTGGCTGTGTTTGGGATCATTGTCTTGCTTAGGGGTGGGCGATACGGAAAAAATATCATATCACAAATTATTATTATTTTTTTTTAGAAATATCACGATTCATGATTTTATCACAATTCTTTGTCATGTTGGTTTTACTATTTTGCAAGTTGTCTGAGCATTACAGCCAAACTAATTTCCGTTTTATAAATACAAAGCCTTTCAAGGTAACAAAAAAACAAACAAAAAAAGAATGGCAGATATTTAGGACAAAGTGGGCGAAGAAAAATCTGTCATTATTTTATCTTTGTTATTAAAAAATAAGAACAAAGATACACATTACAACTACACATAATATACAAATAGGTGTATTTAGCAGGAGCATTCAAGAAATTGAATGAACAAATAAAAATAAAACACTATATAGACTGATTCCTAATGCAACTGTATT